TTTTTATGTTTATGTTCTCTATTTTTTATATTTTTATTTTTTTTGAGGCGGAGGTGGTGTTGTAGATGTGGCGCGCTTACCGCGCACATGGTCCGGAGTCAAGTTCCCGGATCGGTTCCCTCACAGGCCAACAAAGCCTATCCTCCGGGACGGTAAACTGGTACCAGATACTGGGAGGATAAGAATACCGACTTGTGCATCGGCTGGCCCCGCGAGTCATTGTAAAGGCTTCATCGCATTCGATACCGCGTTTCAGGGTGGAAGTAGAATACGTGCCTCAGCCCAAAAAGAATTGATTGACGGCTCAGACTTTATCCATTTACCAGTCGGATCGCCCGGCTGACGCCGAGCTCTCCTCCTTCTCTTTAGCTCGGCTTCGCCGAGCTGGCCTGGCTTCGCCAGGCGCGCTCCATAATGGGGAACGGAACTCTTCAATCACTGCGTTGCTCATACAGCGCTGTATTGGTCCAATCATAACAGATAGAGCAACTCTGCGGATCCTGCACTCCTTAGCAAACGCTTATACTTGCGGTCCGCGCCATAACGCCCATACAACACATAGACCTATAGATACAAAGTGCAGTCGATCAATATAGCGCTTGCTGAAGTATAAATAATTTCAGTACTTTAGTCCCTTATTATTATTACGAGTTGCCATTTCATTTTTGTTTTGCTTGTCACTTAAGGTTGCCGCTCATGTAAGCTCGTGCAAAAGTCAGATCACAGGTGGGGAACCAAACTGCAAATGTTTGAACTTTTTGGTTCAATTCCGATCAGTTCATACTTTACAACATGTCGATATCACGACATAACATAAGTACTCTCCTCATCATTACGGACTGTCGGGGCGTATCAGCCAGTAGGAGTGCGCACACTGTTTGAAGCCGTTCTCAGCCTTTTCGTTGAAACGCGTATGCGACAAAAAGTGGTAGAAAACGAGTAATACGGATATAATGCTGTCATGTCATTTGCTCGCTTCACAACTGGTGCAGAAAGACTT